AAAATTAGATTATGGATCTACTGTGTATTCTAGAGAAACTAAGACACTGCTAAAAAAACTTGACAGTCTTACAACCTATCTTTACGTATAATATCTAGAGCTTTTCGCACAACACCAATCGAAAGTATTTATTGAGAAGTTGAAAAGACAGAAGACTTTATCTAAGTGTAGTATACTCCGAAAAAATCAGGTCTAACCCAAAGAACCCTACTATTCACAATTATTGTTTTACAAAAAAATTCCCAAATCTCTTTATAAGTAAGCCAAGAGCTGCCAAACCTTTCTACGCAAGGATTAGAAGCTACTTAAATCAATTAAACTACACGCTCCCAGAATGCTTTTCCTCCCAATCGTCCTCAATCCCTCCATGGCAAATAAAGAACCCTCAGTGCCAACCCGCCTCTTCAACGATATGCTTCACAACTACAAGGATTATACACATATATACACAGACGCATCTAAATCAAATGAAGGTACTGGTGCTGCAGTCCTCACCCCAACATTGACAAATAAAGATAAACTCCCTTCAGAGTACTCCATTTACTCTGCTAAACTATATGCACTATACCAGGACACCCTTGCTGTCAACGCATCCAATAATACCAATTATATTATACTCACAGACTCTCTAAGTTCCGTAAAGTCAATCCAATATGTCTGTCCAACTAATCCTTTAGTCATCAAGATAAAAGAAGAAATCCACACCGCTCAACTGAATGGAAAAAACATTATATTATTCTGGATACCATCCCATATTGGAATTCCAGGAAATGAACAGGCAGACAATGCTGCAAAAGAAGCTGCAAGTAGTGATAGTGCGGATTGTACTCAAACATTTATTAGTGCGGACGTGAAAGCGGCGGTTAAATATAAAGTGCGATATATCTGGGAAGAAAAGTGGAAAGTGTCATCGTCCAAGCTACGCTATGTTAAAAAATCGATAAAACCCTGGCCCACATTACCAACAAGTCGGAGAGACCAGGTAATATTAACGCGACTCCGACTGGGTCATACGCTATTAACTAATAGCTACGTGTTCTCCAACAATCAAGAACCAAGATGTGACAACTGTGATGAAAAATTAAAAACAAACATATATTAGAGAAATATCCAGCACTAACGCCAAAGCGAATGTTGTATAATATACCAAACAAACTTAGTGATATTTTAGGTCTACAGTACAATATTTCAAACATAAAAAGTTTCTTAACCTCAATTAATGTTTTAAATGCTATCTAAACTAACATTATAAATGTAATACAAATTATTGTTCACTATAATTGTTTCGCTAATAGCCAATTTGGCTGATGCGATTTTTTTAATAAAAAAATAACTGTTCACGGTCTCCAGAAACATTAAAAAATAAAAATATAAAACGTGTAGTAAAGCTTAATATATACAAGATCTTAATAAGACCGGTTTTGATATATGGGGCTGAAATATGGACCTTATTGTTCTCGGACGTGACTAGTTCACATTCGAGACGCATCGCCCCGCCCCTTATTTTTCCCGTTGGCCCCTCCCTGACCTGGAAATCCCTAATTGCTACTTTAGAAAGTATAAAAATAGGCGATTTTCAGGTCAATAAGTCAGTCCTTCACGGGCTCTCCGAGAGCTTAGTGCTCTCGGGGCTCTGCTTTTTCTTTTAGCCTACCCTATACTATGTGGCTGAGTATTATTATTCAACAATATTTGGTGTTTTATTTCGACTACTATTTAGTTATGTAAGAAATAACTTGCCTTTGTCAAGGCAAGTCACCAAAGAAGATAACCTGATCAGAGGGTTACCTAAAGGGTTTTTAAAATCAGAGGGCACAAGAAGCAGAAGAAGACCACGAATGAGATGGATTGATGATGTGGAGGAAGACCTACAGTTTCTAAGGGTTAGAAGATAAAGAGAAGTTGCCAGGAATCGACAGAAGTAGCGACTTCTTTGTGAGCAGTTCCCTTTATTTTGCGTATGACTAACAAGCAAAAACTTAAAAAAATTAAGTTTGTACTTAACTTTGATTTATAGTAAAAGGAGTTGATGTCCCTACAAGGTGTCTAGAGAACTGCCTATAAATCAAAACAGACAAAAATACACTCACGTGTTTTGCTTCGTTGCTTATCTTTATCTTTCTTAATACGCCACAGATCTTGTTCTTCTCTTTTTCTTTCTCTTTGCATTTTTATACTCTTCACACGTACTGCACTGATCTTTCTTTGGATAAAAAATTAGATATTAAATTCATTCCCAAAAATTCGTAAGAAGATGGTGACATTCCCATAACATTTATTTTTATCCACACAATTTTTTTTATAATCTCTATAGATGTCAGCCATTTGCTGACAGCTAACTCGATAGATGTATTTTGACCGATCAGTCATTTTTCTATGATAAATCCATAAAAAACACATGTTTTGCAAACAAAAAACACACAACGTGGCTTTCAGAATAACAGTGCTATTGTCAAGACCTACCGCTATTTGTAAATAATAGTAGTATATACTCGTTTTCATCGTTCTTGGCGTGTGCCTGAAATAAGCTACTACGGAATTTTTAGTATTCGTCTCTCTCTGATACACAGATGCGTAATTCAATTGTGCGAGTCACGTTCGTCATGGTAAAGTGCGATGAGAAGGGAATGAAGAGACCACTCACGTCTCCCAGTATTGTAGCAATAACACCGATGCGTTTGGCCGATACGGTGTCGGTTGATAAGTTCGGCCTCTTTACGAATACAGATAGCTGGCAGTGACGTGTTTTTTTTTAACATGTTACCCTGATCTGTGCAGGTTTGAAGTAGCTGATGAAATAGTTTTTATAAGTAAACAGTTTTTAATGAATTATTAGTTTGAGCTCTTACTGTGTGGAATTCCATTACGTCAAATTATACTCTCGACACCTTAGAAATTCCAGTTTATTATAAATTAACAGTTTTACTTATTATTTTTTGTTGTGAATAACTAATTGTTGTATTTAATAAAAAAAATGCCGGGAAAAACGATAACAGGAGAAATGCGACAATGTGTAGTGTATTTATTGGAGTAGTTTAAAAAAGAAAAAGAAAACAACGGACCTTTGCTTTCGTTATCATCGGTACATGAACGAGTAGCGGACGCTTTGAAAATCAGCCTTCGCACAGTGACAAGAATAAAGAGTGAATACAAGACAGGGTCAGCTCTTACTACACCAGGAGAGTCACGTAATGTACAAAAAAAAGACTAATGATGTCAGCGATGTTAGAGTCAGTAATGTCTCAGACTAATGAGTGCTATGTGAGAAACCATGTATTGTCTCCAAACGACTGTATTTTTTGAGGCATTATATGAGAAATTTTTTAAGTCCAAGCCCACTTCAGTTCGTTTTTTTAGATGAAACATGGATATTCCTAAAAGGGGCATATAAACGTACTTAGCAAGATGACTGTGTGAAAAGCATCAGAAAAGGACACGAAAATACAGGTAAACGCTTTGTTGTTTTACATGCCGGAAGTAGACAAGGATTTGATAAAAATACTGGATTACTGTTTTCTGCGAAATCGAAGAGTGCAGACTATCATGATTCTATGGATAAAGAGTCTTAAAAAGTGGGTTTCCGTAAAGCTGATACCAATGTTGGAGGAATCATCTCTAATTATTATGGATAATGTCTCATACCATAGCTCTTTAATAGAAAAGTTACCGAATGCCAGTTGGAAAAAATCGGACTTACAAGAATGGTTACGAGCGAAAAAAATAATTTTTGACGACGATTCGGGCAAGACAGAGCTATTGAGTCTTTGTCGCCAGAATAAACCACAAAATACCAAGTACGTTATAGACGAGCTACTCCAAGAACATGGGCATCAGGTTTTGAGATTGTCTCCATATCACTGTCAATATAATCCGATTGAGTTGGTCTGGGGCATTTCTAAACAATACTATGATAGTCATATTGGAGAACATGGACGTGAAGATGGAACAGTGAAAGAAGTTTGGGGCGATGCATTAGCTGAGGCAACACCTGCAGTGTAAGCGAGTTGTGTTAACCATACTGAAAAATTAATTCAGGACGACTGGGCAAAAATGGTCACATATGATTAAAATGAAAGTAGGATTATCATCGATTTGGCGGAAGATTCCAATGATGAAGACAGTTCCAGTGAAGACGCTGACTAATTAGCTAATTAATCAAGGTCAGTACGTTGTAACAGTTCAGAATTCGCTACAGTGCTTAAAACTTAAAAAATGTGTATCATTTTTGAATTAAAGTGGGTTAAATAATTAACACTTTTTTGGGTATATTTCAAAATCCTTTTAAAATGTACTTTTCGTTATAACCTGTCCTATTGTAATGCAAGCTAGAAAAAGACTTCTTCGCAATTTATACGTATATTCCGTTATTAGAAATTTAATGAAAAATAATTCATAATTTTCTTTTATAACTATTATTTCGTTTGACATGCTACATTTTGCTCCGCCACTGAAGGAGGTAAACGAATCGAGCTTAGACAAGGAAACACAGATGAAACAACTTATTGCAAGTATTTTTACACGCACACGCCAAGAACGATGAAAACGATTATAGCATACCTAATTTGAAAAAAAAAGGATCTTAATAGTACCGCAACACTGCCATAAGTGAGTTGTTACACTGTTCCAATAGAGTTCAACAAAAATATTAATGTTTCGCCACTTTATTATTACCGTTTCTTTTAGTATTTATTTTTTCTGCGATAAAATTAAAATCTTTAGAATATTCATTGTGAGGAAATAGATAATAGTCTGTTTTGTAGTTTAATTTAAAGCTTTTAAAAATAAAAAATTATGATTAAATATTTTACTGATGAAGTCATTTTGTTCAACAATTTATATAGAATTTTTAATGTCAAAAACTCTGATAATGTTTAATAAATAGATTTGTTTAAATCAATTGCCAATAAATCAAGATTTTGTTTTCTTTGAAACTTCTCGTTAGATTTCATTTATTCAATTTTAAGTCATCGTTTCCACTATTTAAAATAACTTAATTTTAGGTCATCAGGTCGACTATGTACGAACCTGTACTAGATCGATGTGTCACTTCCACAATTATTAAACCCAGCCGACATCCAACAGATGATTTTTTGATTAACGAATACGGGGAGAAAAATGACCTGGAACCGCCACCTCCTGAAAGACCTCCCAGGCGACACGGCAAAATTGCAAAGCAGAATGGTAGCCAAGAAACAAAAGCATGTAAGTAATTTGTGTTAAAATTACAAACATCTACTAAAATTACAGTTAGAAAAAATGATATTAATTTTAGTCTCTGTTAAGAAGTATATTGAGAAAAAATAAACTAATACAGCCGCGCTTTAGACACTACTAGAACGACCTGTGAACGATTTTACCTCTGACCAAATATCAAACTAGAAAATATTTTCAATGTTATATTAATAGTATTCCATTACTTTTTATTTTAATTTGACTCTATTCGACTACTAGAACTAAAATTACAAAAATTGGAGTTTGTTCATTCTTCTTCTTCCTATGCCGTCACCCCCCCCCCCCCATTAACGGAGGTTGGCGACCACATTTTTAAAAGTTTCTCTGTCTTTTGCAACGTGGAATAGCTCGTTTTGCCATCGACTCTACCCTGCATGATGACCTGCAGAAGACTATATTTATTATTCCTCAGTATGTGTCCAATGTATGCAGTCTTGCGTACTTTTATTGTTCTCAATATTTTTTTGTTTGGTTTGGTTTTTTCATAAATTACATTATTGCTTTATTCTACTTTTACTTCTTTATAAAACAGTTTTCATTTATTCATAAAAATTAAGCTGAGAGATTGATTTGTTTCAAGTATTAGGCATAAATATTGTAAAACACTTTAAATATACATATGCCTTAGTTAGTTATTGTATTAATTTTAATAAAAATTTCCTTTGACTTACTGTGCTTATTTACTTCTTTATATAGAATCAAATACTAATTTGACAAGGTCTCCAGATATTATCCTATATTTTATAAATAGGTTTTGGTCTATATCAGTAGTCGATATTTTGTAGAAGTGTACAATTTTACAGTTTTAGATTTTTTTCCCTTATCCCTGATCTATTGGAATATTTTTTTTTTCATTATATTCAAACTTGGCATTATTTTTTGGTTTTTCCTTATTTTTTGTGGTATATATATATATATATATATATATATATATATATATATATACATATATATATATAAATATATATATATATATATATATATATATATATATATATAAATATAAGGAACTAGAAGTATTTGCTGACAACAAGGAAGTAAATTTTCAATATTGGGTTTGCAGCAATAAAAATGATACGTGTACTCTTTTAAATTTTTATTCCGAGCTTTCGGACATGGTTATGTCCTTCATCAGGGAGCTACAAATGTGATGAATAGTTTGTTACAAGTTTGTATAATTAATTAAAGATTCGCTACTTACAAACTTAATGAGGTTGGATCATCAATGATTTTCTTCCATGTCGATAAAACTTATCACAGTCTGTCATATTTTTACATAAAACTTATTCCTATATTTAAAATTTTTAAAAATTGCTTTACAATCACAAACACTTACTTATTATACACACATGTCTGACATTTTTATTCTTAATTTTATTATATCGTCATTAGTTTTTTCTCAAGACAATTCAGTGGTTTTTATTATTAGATACTAGTACCAAATTATAGGCCTATCATTAGATGTATTGTGGCTATATAAATTATTTTATATTATGATATTAATAAATATAAAATAATTTATATAGCCACAATACATCTAATGATAGGCCTATAATTTGGTACTAGTATCTAATAATAAAAACCACTGAATTGTCTTGAGAATGTCAGAAATGTGTGTATAATAAGTAAGTGTTTGTGATTGTAAAGCAATTTTTAAAAAATTTTAAATATAGGAATAAGTTTTATGTAAAAATATGACAGACTGTGATAAGTTTTATCGACATGGAAGAAAATCATTGATGATCCAACCTCATTAAGTTTGTAAGTAGCGAATCTTTAATTAATTATACAAACTTGTAACAAACTATTCATCACATTTGTAGCTCCCTGATGAAGGACATAACCATGTTCGAAAGCTCGGAATAAAAATTTAAAAGAGTACACGTGTCATTTTTATTGCTGCAAACCCAATATTGAAAATTTACTTATATAAATATATATATATATATATATATATATATATATATATATATATATATATATATATATATATATATATATATATATATATTTTCTACAATGGTTCTGAAGCTCCTTTTTTGTGGCATGCCTAATTTGAATATTATGTTTATATGGGATTAAGTCAGGGACGAAAATGCCACTTAACCTCTAAAAATTATACAAATAAGCCGAATCTTGCTAAAAATCTCAATTTTAGGATTCCAAAAGTTTATCCTTACCTACCCCACAGCTTCCTCCTAAAACTTACGGCGTATGGGAAGTAAAGGGATAAAATCAATTTACCAATAATTTGTTCGCCTTAGCAAAAAATGTTTTGAATAAAAAATGTAGTTGAGATAATTTTAAACAAAAATGATTTTTAGTACTCTTTATGTTGAACGAATTAAACCATTGAACTTTTGATAGGAGTGTCTTATGGACAAAAATCAAAATACGTTTTAAGGGTGAAATGTGCGGCTTGTGTATTTTTTGTGTTCTGTCGCTAGTTGTTAGTTTATATAAAGGTGTTAAACATATGGTCGCGCCATTTTTGCCATCTTATACAATTCTCATGAGATCAGTAATATTTATTACTTTCATTGACCAGTAACTATGGAATTTCCATTGTTTGAGCCTAATAATTTGGCAACATATATGTTAAAACATGTATGCTGCCAAACTTCAAAATCGAAATTTATTTCATGTTACATATAAAAGATTAGGCTCTAGCAATGAATACGAGCCCCTTCCCATATCAGTTGGCCCAGCGTTAGATTCAAAAGAAAATTAAATTTTAGAGAACAAAAATAAAAGCGCAGCGTTTTATTGCATCGAACAACTTTTTAAATTTTCTAATTATATAAAATATTTTATACCTAACGAAAATTTTAATTAAACAGAATAATAATAAGTTAAAAAAAAACGCATAGAATATGTAATATTAACAAAAAAAAATGTAACAGTTTACCACTGAGTGACAGTTACATCCCCTTTAGTGACATCCACAATTCTTCGAGGCATATTTTTTACCAGTTCTACAAAATTCTAATGTAAACGAATTCCATATTACTTGTAATTTTTCGCTCAATTCGTTGACGGACCTGGCAGGATGTTTTCTCAAAACTTTTTTCATTTCGTGCACAAAGTCTCTATCGGGGATAAGTCGGAACTGTTAGAAACCTATTCCAAAGGTGGTATGCCTTGGTCTTCAATCCATTTTAAACTCTTTTTTGAGGTGTGACAACCTGTACCGTCCTGTTGGAAGACAAAATCTTCCGCTGATGTTTTACGGTGTTCCATAATCGGTAAAAGAGATTTATCTAAAATATTTACATATTTATCCATGTTTACAATTCCATTGATAAAATGTAAATGTGCTGCCCCAGATCATAACAGATACAGAAAATTTGACTTTTCTCTTTAACCCGGTATCTGGCAACACCAAAAATAGATGTCGAGAATTATTTTATTGTATACATTTATGACAGGGGAAAGTGGTTTTTGAATCCGTTGTCTGGAAGCAACATTGCCAGTCAAGAAACACTATTTGGTACCAACTTTACTAATGAAGAACTCAAAATTTTGTTAATCATAAATAAAGAACTGTTTAACTAAAGGACATTTTATTTATTCAATAAAAAAATTAACTTATAATAGAGTGCCTAATACTAAACAATTATAAATATAGGCCTAATTCTAATGGTGGAATGATAAAAAACAATTTTTGTTCGGTGTTAAACAAAGCCGCATGTTACATTTTTCACACTGCACAGTTGTATAACCAGTTTTACAAAATCTGCATCTTCCTTTAGCGGTATAAAGTGGCCAGTGAACTAACGCATCTCTTTTGGTAGCATCATCAGGTCTTACAGTTAGAGGATGGCGAATAATGTTATCTGTATTTTCCATACTTGATGGACGGCCTCGCTTTACTTTGTGCTTTCCAGTACTGGACAACGACCTAGCTAGTTCCATTCTAAACTTCTTGAGTGACGTAAAATTTAAATTATTGACTTTACTATCATTTTGATGTAATATCCATGCATTTATAATACAGACAGCTAAGAGCCAGGTAACTATTGGAAAATACCATATTATACTACGACTTGGACTTCTGTAGAGACCCAATAAAGAATTAGCTTTATCCACTCCACCCATGTGTTTATTTTATTGAGTAATTAGATTTGGGCATGGCACATTTACTTTTCTTTTATGTTCTTTAGAATACCTTTGTACGTGATTGACTGGCTCAATCCCACAACCAGTACTAGCCAGAAGTACACATTTGTTATCTGCCCATTTTACAACTATAATATTCTTTTGTTCATCGCATTTATAAACATAGGAACCCCTGCCACGTTTTAACAAAACCTTATCAGTATCCAAGATGCAACCTGCTATTCTATTTGAGCGAATAGTGTCCAAGCTAAGGATATTATACTTCTTCGTCAAGTAATGAAATAATCTCAAACTGGAAAACCAATTGTCACAAAAAATCATTGAATTCTGGGGGTCCTCTAATGTTTTACATAGTGCAATCACTAAAGCTGCACCGACACCCAAGGATTGTTCTTCTTCAGAAATCTGATTGATAGTTCCCTGTAGTTGTGAAAACGTTGAAGCTCCTTGGTAAGGAATGAAATCGGTAATATATCCTGAAACACCTGCCCTTACGAAGAACTTCTAACCCCATTTATGAGGCTTATTTTGTATGTATTGTCGTAAATTGCCACCGTATGTACCTTTGTAAGCAACCATAGCCTCATCTATAGAATATTGGTTTTCGAACTGATACTTATAACAATTTGTAGAAATATGATCTAAAAGGGGACGAATTTTGAAAAAGCGGTCTTTCGTTTCTGAAGTTGCTTCTAAATTATCATTGAAATGGATCACTGTTCTCAGTTTTTGAAATTTTTTTAGCACATAACATCAGCAACAAGAGGAATTCTTGAAGAAGTGGCCCAATAATCTTCTATTGCTGGCAGCTGTATTACCCCCATAAAAATCAAAATGGAGAAAAAGTCTGTTATTTCGGAAGTATTTGTGTTGACACTTACCCCAGTTTTTTGCGTACTGTATAAATTCGTCTGGTATAAAATATTCTTTATTAGATTTACTGAAAAAAACCT